ACTTTTAAGCACCACATCTGAAATTCAAGCACTTTTCAAACCTTGAAAAGACAACATTAAAATTCAAGCATTTTCAAGGATTTCAAGCACCCGTACGAACCCTGGATAAGCATACATGCAACACGCTTAATATTTTATTGTCAAATAAATCATAAAAACTCTTAATGTCTAACTTTTAAATATTTCAGTATTAACATTTTAAGTACAATATATATACATATCCACATGAGTCAAAACTATGTACATGCTACAGGGCGACTGGATTGTTAGATAATATATCCCAGGCGTTTCTTGATAAAATGGGCCACCAGAATTTGAGGTCTCTGCTGATATTCCACCAGAACATCATGGGATGATGTGATTTGGTCCCCCTCAAAGCGATTCAGCAATGCAACGCATACCACAGCTCCTGGAGAGTGAAATGAGAGTTTTTAGAATAGTGCAGTATGTCAAAATCACAAGTAGAAGATGTACTTTGCAGCGATCAGAAGGTTTTGCCTTCATACAGTGTTTGCATTGTTAGAAAAATAATACCTTTGAGACCACAGACACGGCACATAGCAGCGAAAACAGTGGACTCCATTTCAATATTCCTCACTCCGGCCTCATAAGCTTTCCTCAGATACTCCAGTTTCTCTTCTTGGGAGAAGGAGCACAGAGCTCCATCTAGTCGGCCCTGACCTACAGAAACGGAAAACAGGATTTGTCAGGGGATGACAACTAGGAATTACAAATAAATGTTTAATGGAATTCTGTTCATACTGTACCTTCATAGAAGTCATGGGTGCACATGGTGTTTCCGATCACTGTTGGAAAAGTTTGAAGCTCAGAAGAGCACTGCAGAAGCTCGTTGGCCACTCCCTCATCCAGCTCAGTGTTCCTGGTGATAACTTTACCCAGAACGACCTGTTCAAACTGGGGGCGGAAAGAGTAGTCCACTGCTTTTTCCGTGATCACCACGGTCCCTGGAGCCAGACCTGTAGATGACACAGGGAATAATTTTCTTACATACTTGGATTAATGACTTGAACAACTTGTTTAACTGCATGTAAAACTTTCTCATATTAAAATCAAAAACACTTACCGACTCCACCAGACGTTCCCAGGCGAAACAAAACCACATCACGACACTGGGCATGGTGCAGGAGCTTGATGAGCTCATGCAACATGATGGAGATTGATGGGACTCCCATTCCATGCTGTATTATATACACAGTGCGTAGAAATTACATTTTCTAATCCGTAAAATACTTACGGATAACCCACAGCAAAAAATGAAATACCTACGCTTATAGAGAGAACTGGTCCGACTTTGTACATGCAGTAGCGATCAGTTCCCTCACAGATATCTTTGATGTCTCCTGGGTTTCCTGGCAGTTTCAACTCCTGATGGATGAACTGGGCGAAAGCCTTCATTCGGTTTGCACTGCCACCAACACACACAAACTGTGGGAAACAGAGAAAAACAGAGGACTGTTGAATTGTGTTTTAGAGCTTTTAGAAAATAGTTTTATTTAAGCTGGACTTATTTTAATATCTTATATTTAATATCTTATACTTATTTTAATATACCTTAATATCTCCAAACATTTCAGGGAGGTTGTGAGTCTTAGTGCTCAGGCTGAAGTGGTAGAGAATGTCCTCTTCCATGGTGTCCAAATTGGGATTTTTTACTTGGACCTGTTCACTGAGTAGATTTTAATGCATTTTAGTTCACGAAGAGTGGTGAATCGACAATAAGTATATGTGCATGGATTAAATATATATTAAAACAGTGACATAAGTTTAAAGAAAAGCATCAAGAAATACTGTTTAAAAGACTTAGTTTAGGTTGCCAATACTTACTTTATATACTCATTCTCCTCACTCCCCATGTGGTTCAGAAGTATCGGTGCCATTACTGCAGCATACACTTTCAAATTAAGTTTTAAAATGTCTCAAAACCTCCAAGTGTTTTCAGTTACTGCTTTCCAAATAAGAGTCATATCAGACTGTGCAGCAGATATAGTGGTGACCCCTGACCTTGCCACTCATTGGTTCCAGAGAGAGGGGAGTAGCTCAACCCTGCTGCTCCCACAAAAACATCCTCCAAGCCCCAAACAAACAGTACGATCAACCATAAAATTACCACAAAATAATAAAAATTACTGTCTGGTTCTAAAGTGTAAGTAAAGTTTTAAAAAGTCATACGAGCACCAGTCAAAATAAGCAATTGTTCATAAAGACAGTATTATTATAAAGACTGTTAACTCTTACAAAAGCATGAGTGTGTGGGTGTGTAATTTGTCACCAATAGCCAATCTGAGGCTGGTGAATAACTGGCGTGTACTGACATAATTTAGCAAAAGAACACCGAGATAACCTCTGACACTAGCACGGTCATATGAAAACAGAAACGCACAGAGCCAACATAATGTACCACGAACAGGAATCATGTTTAGTGTGGAAAATTTAGCCTGTGACATATACATATATATAAATGTTTCATTTTGGATTGGTTTAATTTTATTTGAATTATCAAACTTTTCCCAGAAGCTGACATTTACAGACTTGTAGACACAGAAAAAAAAACTTAGGAGTTAACTGCTGCCTTCAAGTGCACCACTAAAAATCACAATAAATAAAACGTCCAATCTGTAATTCAGTGAGGCACTTTAATGCTCGAGTAAAAGATTTAACAAAACAAAGTAAAATGCTTGATGTGTCTCAGCATGAATCTTGTACGCCCTTTTCCCATCCAGGCACCTGGCAGTCTTCCGATCTATTGAAATTGAAATATGTAGGAGTACAAGTCATTGTCACATAATTCACTATTATCTCTGTTATAGTGTAAAAAAGCCTTCTAAATTTGTAATGACTGGAACCTTGAATTTTGTCACCTTCATCTTACATTCTGGTTATTAATAATAATACCCTCATAAAATCCATACACTGCTTAGCAGTTGGCCTTAATTTCCTTCCATAATGCAAAATGAGCATTCTGAAAGCAGAATAGGAAATTGGAATGTGTTATGCTTATTATAGGGTTAAGACTGTAACTCCATTGCTGCACTACTTACTTGACACGTCACTATACTGGTTTGCTGTCTTCTGCATAACCAAAGCTGAGCAGCTTTGACATGTCAACAGGGGCTGGTTTCTTGTCAATTACTCTGAAAGAAGATTAAAAATATAGTCCAAATATGATGGAAACAGAAATGTGAAAATTTGATCTTTTTAGTGTTTTTTTCCCTTTCTCTCTTTACCAGCAAAGCTCGTTATTTCACTACACAGTGCCTACAGTGCTCACAGTTTAAACATTAAAAATGGACCGTACCCCTCCAACACTGAATAAACTCTGGCTACTTATTACAAAAATTGGCTTCCCAACTAGTATTTGTCAAACAACACAAATATAGCAAAGATCCAACTGTGCAAAAATGATCCAGCAAAGGACTGGCTGCGTCTCACATTCAACATTTATCTCTTATCTCATTCAGACAAAGCAACTAAGAGAAGCACAAGTATTTTTCTCCAATTGGTTAGTCACTCTTCTTCTGTCTGGAAACTTCCAGATTGCAACTGACTCATCTTCCTCCAACACTGTAGCTGATCAGCAGTTAAAAGTTGTTGTGGTAGTTTGATCTGTTCTGGAAACAAGCTTAATATATTACCACACTGGGGTGTTTGAAAATTTCACATAACTATTTTATAGTAGACCTTTTGTGGAGTGCTTTCAACAGATATGATTGCGATCTCTGGTGCATTGCATGCTAGCTTATTTTGGGTTATTGACAAGTCACTGACATTTTCCCAGAGGTACAGAGAGCACACAGTACTAATCAGCTGTTAGCCAAAGCAAATAGATGAACATCTGGATTCATCTAGAAACCATCTCTCTGGGTGCTCTTTTGTTTGACCTAAGTTTTCAACCTGCCCGAGAGCATTTGGGCTTTGTCATCATAACACAGAGACGTATGGGACAGAATGTAATTACAACAATCTCTTGAATGTACATATATATTTTTAATTAGCCATTTATCTTTGCATCCTATACTGTATTATCTTAATGCCAATTATTACAAAAATAGAATGCCAAATATAAATAATAATAGTAAATAACACTCTAGACATGTTCAAATATATTTAAATAGATGGTCAAATCACTGTATGTACATTAAGGTTTGTTTGTTTTTAAATAATATTTAATAAAAGTCAATGCAATTAACTAATCTCTGATATACTATTTCTGTTGTTTCTTTAGTAAAAACAATGGGGAAAAATTCATAGTAAAAATAAAAAAACAAAACCATCCCACGCCTTTATCAGAAGTTCATACTAGACGGAACAACACTGTTTTCCTGTAACAAAATGATGTTTGTACTTGGATTAAACAGTGGTGGAGTGCCTCACCTCTGCTGGGTTGGGCAAGAATAACAGCAAAGGTTTTTTGGGTTTCATGGAAGTCTGCGTCACTTTAAAGCTTCATTACTGCATCCTTCTGGATTTAACATTGGACTGTTGTTCGTAGTTTACACTGCTGTTCCACTCTTGTGCTTTTAAAACCCAAATATTTATTTTCTCCCCTCTGCTTAGTTCCCTCACTCATGCTGATCTTTAACTCTGGCCTGCATCGGCAACCATAATATACTAATAGTATATTAGTATATTCTTTCTCCTTCATAATTCCTGCATAAAGTTGAGACATGCGCTACTGTAGTTTTTTTTTAATTACAATGGACAGTTGGATGGTGTCCTCATAATAAAAAGCACATACATGTTGCCTCTTTATTGATCTTATTTCGTCTGCTTCCTCATTTCAGGGAACTCTTGTGTGTGCCAGTACGCACATGAATGTTTATACCTTAACTGACTAACCATGAGTAAGTAAGCAGTAGGTCATACACCAGACTCCTGGTTGTTCTGGTTTTAATGACTGACAATATTGTTGACAGTGAGTCATTTAGGATGAATAATTTAATTTTGATCACTTTATCCACCCATTTCAGCAGGACCACACATAGTTAGTTGGGCACCATGGTGGCTCAGTGGTTAGCACTGTTGCCTTGTTGGGTTCAAACCAGGCCCCCACCCGCATCGTCTCTGTGTGTATGTTTTATGAGTGAGATCTGAGAGCTCCAGTTTCACCCCACATTGAAAAATACGGTGGGTTGATACTGCCTGTGTAGGCCCATGAAAATCTCCCAAAAGACATGATTGATTACTTTCTGCTAAATAAAAAAGTATACACAGTTAAATGATCTGATGCTCTCCAACTGAGTTCAGTTTGATTACTGGCAAGCACAAATTGAAATAAACAAGTTTGAATGCAATCAGAAATAGTTGCACATACAGGGCAGTGCAGGAAAGCTTTGTGAAGGCTAGACCTTTTATTCTATGTGGTTGTCTACTTAAAATAAAGACCAAAATGGACTGCAATTCATTATTATACATGTCCAATGTCATTTACAACAAAGGTGCATTAGTATTAGTATATTGGTATGATCCCATTATACTTTATGTCAAAGAATCTAATAGAGTTGTAAAACTGCACTATGAGACCCCCCTTACACTAAGCATAAAACAGAACTTCAGCACCATCTTGTGACCACAACCACTTACATCCTCCTGAATTTGCTGGCCTCATGATGTTGACTGGATGTCTGCAACTTCTCTGTCTCACTTTGGGGGACAGAAATGTCATCCTGTACAAAAAGTAAAACAAAATCAGAATACGTGGAGGTTATTTGTTGACTAATTATTCCTAATTTGGTTGTTTTTGACAACTTAGCAATCAGCCCAAGTCATAAGAAGAAAGTACCTGAAGCACAAAATAACCGTCTGATACTGAGTATGTAACACTAAGCAAACAATCCTTAAACTAACAACACAAGACGTGGAATAATTGTTTGTGGATCATATGCCAATATTAGTTTTCTAACTGACGTTAGCATTACTGTACCTCCTCTTTCTCATTGTTGCTGCTGTTGTCTCTTTCCCAGGCTGACATGTTGTCGCTCCCAAAAGGAGGTTCTTGTGGTTCAAAAGCTCCGGGGATTTTCTTCTCTTCACTGTTAATTAGCCAGTTGGAAAGAACAAAACAATATAGGTATATAAAAGTATCAAATCGTTAATGACAGCTTAAATACAAGATCAAACAATAAAAAAACAACCCCCCCCCCCCCCCCCCCAAAAAAAAAAAATAAAAAAAATGCCTGTGGTTGTGGAAACAGGATAGTAGCATAAAAAAAGGTTTTGTTACTTAAACAGTACTAGCAGTGGGAGAATCTTTACAGTATTACTGGCAAGTATTTATGTACATATTAGAATAATAACAAAGTGTACATACTACTATGAGAATGGGGTGAAATGAAAACAATAACACAAATTTGAAACCTTGGGTCGCTTAAGTCTCCTGATTCAAAGCCAAACCAATGTGGAGGTTTGTATGAACTGGGTTTAGAAATAATTGATTCCTCGTGCCACAGAAGTCCTGTTGAACAAGGATAAGAAAAAAAAAACACGGGAAAAAAACTAATGTTTGTAGCAGTTATCATACAGCAAGAGGAAAACATGGAAATGTAAGGAAACAGGACAGCTTTACCCTTATGCCCTCCTTGTTTTGCAAGTTTTACATAATCAGAGTCACTCTGTAGGACTCCAACTCTTCGCCCTCGGATCCTCTCCTTAGGAAGAGTGTTGGTAGTTGGGGACAGTCCAGGGATCTGTGAGATGTGGCCATTGCTTGTATGGTATCCTGTTTTGACTCCTGCAGTTTTAGTGTACAAGCACACAAAAAAGATATATATATTCATTGCTTTATAAATTTCATTATTCCATGTGCCTATGTTACTTCACACAGCATCTCTTCACCGGTGTTATCCTCATAACCTGCACAACCTGCACAGGGCCTGAACTAAGTATTCATAATTAGTTTTACTTGCCATATTTTGTTGGTTCCAGATCGTTACTCGTGAGGACGAAGGAATTTCTGGTGGAAACGGAAACAAAAAAGCCTGTCAACCTTTCCAGTTATACCCTGAGTGAGCCGCAAGCTGTTGTCATTAGCACCATCAAAGCAATAGTTAAATTAACCTTGGCGTTAGCTAGCTAATGCTATCTGTGGTAGCGTTGATTTTTATCCACGCCTGTAATTAAACACACATAAAAAGTAACATGACTAATTTGAGTAAAGTTAAAGTTTCAAGACAGCAATTAAACTTCTGATTTAAAAGTAAAACGTCTTCGACTTACTCTGAATTCATTGTGAAAGCGGAGTAAGAAGCCGCTGTGAGTGGAGGCAGACTGTTTGGAAGTTGTGATCGCGTTTCCATGGAAATGGGCTTGAGCCCTCTGGAATACAGTTGCTGCTATCCAGAGAAAAGTGCTGCGCGCAGAGTGAATACTCTCATAGGGTGCATGGAAAATAAACAACAGTTAGTTAGTTAGTTAGTTACACTCATCATGGGCATGAGTGTCAATGGTAATTTGGGGCTTTTAATGATTTCTTTGAACTGTGAGTTTTGCAAGGTGGGATGATTCTGCAGCGTGCATCTTCGATGACCGCAAAAACTCAGAATTGGGGTTTTAATTTATTTAGGGTCCCCCCCCCCCCCCCCCAAAAAAAGTGGTAATATTTGGTTGAAAAACACTTCCTAGAGTTTTGTCTCAAGGCACACCAATGAGCCTTGACGCACTAATTGGGGGCTACTGTCTTAGAGCACCGACTTCTTTCTGCCGCCCATCTATGTGGATGACATTTAGAGAGAGATTTGATGAGTTGAAAAGCTTTGTGTAAGGTATATTTGAATAATATTTTTTAAAACTAATCCATTGAAAACTTTTCAGTAATTTTCTATAAATAAATACTATCCAAGCATAAACTATCCTTTAGCCAAAGTTCTTCTTTTCAACCAGAAAAAATAGGCTGTCTGCACTTTCTTCATAAAATGTAATAAAGAATTAAAAGTAGATGCAAGTCTGTAGGCGATGGGACATTATCTTTACTTTCTGTACATGAATACCTCTTAGGATAATATATTTTTTTAAGTATTATTTCTTTTCTCTTCAGCAGCCATGCTTGCTTTGAAGTATACCAATAATTTATGTGGCCTCAGGTATGTTCAGAGCTTCTCTCAAGTGCTAAGAGCATGCGCACAGCAATCCAAATAGCAGAAGGAGCTTGCGTTAACATGTTAAGCTACCCAGAGAGAATATGTCAGTGACAGGAAATGCAGTCTATTCCTTCAGTAGAAAATCGCAATGTCGCTTGAGATCATTTGGTAGTAAGAAAACGAATAATACACAAAAGCAAACAAGGCAAAAAACACTTTATGGGTGAACCCAGAGACATTACACTAGATATGTAGTGCATCTGCGTTTTTACAAACACTTCACATTAAAAAAAAAACATAAAATACATTGACACAACACATGTTATTTTTCAGAAAATTTTTTTATGTGTTTATTATGAGAAAAACAATGCTGTTTGTATTCATAAATTGCATGTTTCTTAATTATACCAAGTTATGACTAAAAAGCACTTTATGACAGGATAATAATAACATTATAGGCATAAATATAAGGCAAAAAAACTGACACACAATTAGATTGGCATTTGACTCTTATGACAAAAACGCTATTATAAAAGTGCTCAGATAGATAGATAGATAGATAGATAGATAGATAGATAGATAGATAGATAGATAGATAGATAGGGAAACTACTGTATTACAGCAGCATGATAAAGATAATAAAATAATAAAAACAGTACAATCTACAATAAAAAAGAAAACTGCCCAACATAAAAGTACTGCTGGCCCACAGTGAAGGTGCTTTAATGGGATGTAATACAAACAATTTTTACATAAACAGCAATACTAAAAATAATGAAAATAAAAAAAGTAAGACCGAAATTGTGCAAAGGAGTAGTGCAAATGATATTAATGAATAATATGTACACTCTACGTCTAAGAAACAGCAGCAAGAAGGTTTAACACAGACATCTGTGTGGAATTCTATGTCCTGGTGTTCATCTGGAGAGAGTTGCTGTATTGTTTTATTGAGAATGATTGAAATGATTTCCTGCAGTGTTCGTCATGGCTGCAGGGTTAAATAAGACTTAGAGAAAGGAGCTCTGCTGCTTCTGTAGAGTAGCATGGAGGAAATGAGATGGATTGTTTGTGATGGAGAGCAGTTTGTTCAGTGACCTCCTGTCCCTCACTGGCTCAAATGCCTCCAGATTCTTGCCAATGATGGTTCCAGCCTTGTGGATTAGTTCGTTCATCCTGCTGGCATCTCTGGCACTGATGCTGCCTGCCCAGCAGACAACAGCAAAATAGATGGCACTCGCTCCCACAGACTGGTAGGAGATCTCCAACATCTTTCTGCACACATTAAAGCATCTGAGCTTCCTCGGAAAGTAGTCTTCTCATCCCCTCCATGTACACGGCATCCCTGCTGGTCTTCCAGTCCAGACCAACAGCTCCTGGTTTAGTCTCTTTTTGTCTTGTTGACATTCAGAAAGAGGTGATTTCTGTCAGTCTACGCCACAAAGCTCCTCAGACTAAAATTAAACAAATGAGTTTTATTTTGAAATAGCCGACAGGAAACGTGTCTTTATCGTCTCACCTAGCGTTACTGCGTTCCAAGGTAACTTCCTCCTCCTCCAATCCTGGCTTTTTGCCTTCGAAAACGCCGCCGCCGGGGTGCGAGTTGTGAAGCCCAGACAGCGTAACAAAAATGCGTCTTCGATTTTACTCTCTCCTAAAAATGAGTACGGAGTGAGTTTGTCACTTTAACAATTATTATATTTGGCTTCTTTTTTCTCTCTGCCGAGCGAAAGACGGGCGTCAATGTTGGCGTCATGTAGCCTCTGCTTTTCAGACTTTGGAAAACAAATCGGGTATTGTCGGTGAATTCTCGGGAGATGGCAGAATAGTTCGACCTGCGCCGGTTACCTAGCCCTCACAGCACTTTGAAGAAAAAAAAATACCCCGCGAGGTAAGTTTTTATTTTTATTATTATTATTTATCGTGACGTCTCTAAAATGTCATTTAATCCAGGCTATACTGGAATATGCGCGCGGACGTTTCGGTAGACGTGGAAAAGTTTGCCGGAGACGGCTTCGTGACGCGCTCCCGTAAGAAACCCCTGTCTCCTTCTCTCAGCTGCTTTGTAAAATCGTGGCCTGTTTGGTTCTGCAGCCGAGCATATTTTTATCTAACGTGTCTTTCTTGTGACTTTGCAAAAACAAAATAGCCGCTTCTGATAAGCTCCCCGCGCAGCTCGGTGTACCACCAGCTAAGAGACCTTGTCAGATCTGTCTCTTGTTAATGAAAGGATGAGCGCCAGGCCAAAATAACCACAATCTGGTTTTCAACTGCGACTGTGCTGGGTTCTGATTTCTCCTAAGCAGTCGAATCAAGCTCACGACATTGCAAGTAGCTGTGACTCGAAGAGTTTTTGTCATCCAGTCTTTAGGGGGGTCGTTCCAGCTCGATCGTGCCCCATCATCGCCCGCTGAGCACCTTTAACATCACAAACGCAGTCCTGCGGGGCGGGGGGCGCCACCAACACTCGTGAACACACAGTATGACTAGGAGTGGTTCGGGATTTAATTTTGGGCAAGTTGGAATTATAAAAAAAGCTACTTAAACGTCACTGATAGAGCATCAATTGGATGTGGAATAGATATAAACCAAACAGAAGATGATATGTGAGAACTACTTGGAGGGACAATCTAATGGAAACCTGGTAGACCCGCTGATGAGAGGGTGCCAACTTCATTAGAAAGGTGTTAATGCTGGCTGAAAACATTCAGAGATAATGGTGCTGATTGCAAGAAGTGTGAATGGGGAATGTCTCACACTTAAGTGCTCTTTCTCAGAATCAACTCATTGTTATAGATCCCACAAAATGACAATCCCACACACTGAGTTTAAATGCCAGGGAAGCCATTCGAATGTGCACTTTTTAAGTTGGCTGCACTTGATAGTGTCTGCGCATGACAATCTGATTGTCACACACACACACAAAGCCCGAAGTCTGGCAAGGCAGACTATTTGGGCGAAATCCATACTAATCCATCCATCAATTTTCTTAACGGCTTATGCAACTTAGGGTCAGGGGGGTGACATGTTCATTTTTAAAAGGGTGGTTTAAATTGAAAGCCGTCTCCATTCAAAGCTTTTTTTGTCACAGTTTCAGGAAAAATCTCCAGCTAGCCGTGCCCTTTAATTGCTGCTACTACTACTAGCTGAAGCACACAGACGACTTGTTCACAAATATCATTTTTCTTTTTCTTTTTTTTCATATTAGCTGGGGAGAGATGTTCAAATCAGTGAAGGCTTGAAGCGGATAGCACTTTAGGGTTTTGTGTCTTGGTTAGTGGCAGCGTTAAGTGGCACTTAGTGGCTGTGATCTGGAGAATGTAACCCCATAGCTGGCCAGTCACTGAGCTGTGGCCTCTTGGCGAGCGCCGGTCATTCTCGAGGCCTGGCCTCATGGAGTCTGGCTGATAGCGGTCAGATAAAGCGACGTCAGGCTGTCTGGGTGACTGTGTGTAGTTCAACTCTGAGGGTGGGGGGGTGTCTTGGGGAGCCTGTTCTGTTCATCTGAGGAAATAACTACCAGTCTGATTGTGGCTGTTGTTCCTACCATTTTGGGCCTTTCCTCCCTCTCACCAACTCTTGGTCTGGTTTCAAACAGACTAACGGTAGTAGCTGAATCGTCAGCCAGTTATGTTTATATTTATAGAGCATCTTTATAACAGTTTTTGTTTTTTTAAATTTCCACATAGCAGCTCCCAAGTTCTTTATATATGAATATCTTGGCCCCTACACCAGTGTTTTCCTGTATCTGTTCCTCTTCTGACGACCATAAATCGCCTCATTTGCCTTGCAAGTCCGGGCTATTTCAGAAAATATGAAGAGAGGGGTTTGCTTTGAGGGGGGGGCAGGCTTCCGATAGCAATCATTTAGTGTGCCCAATAATTTGGCTGTCAGGAGCAGCTGGCAGTTTGGGTTGGAACAATATGCGAGTGGAGTGAGAGAAAAGCTCTGAAACCCTGCGAGAGTCTGTGTGTGTGTGTCGGGGGAGGCGGGGGAGTGGCGTGTGTATATGCATATGTGTGTGGAATCAGGTTACACAGTCTGTCATTAACAAGGGAACTGCAGTTATGAGACCAAGATAGACTGCTTCATGTCTGAGGCTCATCGCGTTTCCTTGTAGGTGGCTCTCAAGTTGGAGAAGAAAAGGAGGGAGGAGGAGCGAGGGAGGAAAGTGTGTGTGTGGATATGTGTGTAAACAGGTGGTAGGTGCAGGCCCAAGGATAGAAAGGGGAAAGAATCTGGCTTGAAGTGCGGTGTCAGACTAGCTACCTTCAGCTTTCGCGCGTCACGATTTGTCTGCATGTGTGACCCGGGCTTGTTTGTCTGTGTGCTGACTTACTCGAAAGTTTGACTAGCAACAGACCTGGCATCAAACGAGGCGGCCGACTGCAGAGAAACGCGGCATGTGGGTTGAATTTGCTTGTGCTCTACGCTTGTGTCCAGCTTTTTAGAAAGGGGCCCTCTGTCTGCAGTGTTATTTTTAGTCAAAAAATCCTTCAGCCTTTTAATAATCATCAGCCTTATGTAGCCCAAACATATCGCGATGAGAAGAGCTGTCTGGGACTTTGAGGCTCTGCAGCCTCAGCAGGACATGGGAAGTTAGAGAGGGGGGAAGAAGAGAATGAGATAAAAGACTCCCTGTGTTTCTGCCAGATTTTTAGTCTTCCTCTGTTTGCTGTTTGGGAGCTCGCTCGTCTCCTCATCTGGTGGCTCTGTGCAGACTTATCGATTCCTCCTGTGTTGTGTTCAAATGTGGATGAAGACCAGTGGAGACAGAGAGAAGAGAGACGAGACGCTGCTGTCTCCTCAGATGCGCACACACACACACACCTAGATCTGCAGTGCTCACGGCTCCACTCCTCTCTCTCCACAATAACCCCAGACTGCACTGGAGACAGTCTGCAATACACATTTTATGAGCCCTTCACTCGCTTCAGTGCTCTTGTCTTATCACTCAGCTGTTAGGGGAGAAAGTTATGGCTTTGTTTCAGTCTCTGCTTCTCTCTGATCTCATTCCCTGTCCCGGGCACGGGCTCTTATTTGGTGTGGGCACTTTGTCTGTGAATTGAAAATAATCTACGTTTCATCTCACGTGTCATGGGGTTGTAAACTGAAATGGTGCTGTTATGATGGTAGTACTCTGCTGTCGTAGTCGATGGGGTTTGCTCGAATTCCCCTTCCCCATGCTTGAGGCGAGTGGGCCATTTATAACATTTAGACATTCACTGCTTTTGACATCGAAGTAAGGATCGGCAACATGGCTGAAATCAGTGTCACAGTGTAGCAGTATATTTTGCTTCGCACATGCGCCAAATCCATGGCTGCTAATTCTAATGAAGATTTTAATTGGCAAATACTTAATCAGTTAACCACGAATGCCCCAGAAATTTCCGTTAACCTAAACAGGAGTAAAAAAAACCCGACTAAACAGTGTTACTACATGATCATAAATAACAACTGCAGAGTCATAAATGATAGTACAGAATTATCACCCATATCTACTTTCAGAAAATAGTTACATCACATTAATGACTTTATTGTAAAGGATTCTTCAAAACTCTGTTTCCTTGTGCTCAGATTGCCTGAGAAGTCTTTGCTCGTGGAAGGCAGGAAACTCAAAGCCATTAAGGCTCGACTGGCAGGAGGACGTCATGGCCCCGATCAGTCTCTCTGCCAATCACAGATTCATTGTTTTGTTGCAAGCTGTTTACTTAGTGGTTATCACAGTGGCGTGATGAATGTTTTTTTCATGTATGGTTGGCCACTCACTGTGGATCATCTTGTTATCTGTCTGAGTCTTGTCACTCAGCTTTTAGAGCCTTCTCATAGCTTTTGGTAACTGCACTCAATGCTCTTTGGTCTAGTCGCCTGACTTGTTTTACAAGAAACAAAACTGGTGCAATGGGTCCACCTTGATACAAATCAAGGTGTCCTTTTAAGTGAAATATTGCCCCAGGGCGGTAACCTTTATAAGATGGTCATTTGGAGGGAAAATGTTTGTGCATTCCTTTGCTGGCAAACGTGGCTCTGGGCCATAAAGTCTGTTTGAACTGGCTGTTTCAGATGTTTTGATGCTGTGTGAAAATGAATGTCTAATTGCTATGGTGACTATTACGTAGAAGACTCGTTAACAGTGCCATCGCAACGCTGTAAAGCATTTAAGTTTGTCCCACCCCAGTCGTCCCATACCACAAAGTCATAATACAGCCATAACATTAGTTTGTGAAGAGATTTATTTAGGGTTTCTTTTTGTCTTTGAAGAAGTTGCACTACATTCTGTGTGTGACAAAAAAGGCAAAGGTTTGGTGATTTTTTTTCCCCAGTCTTTTCCAGAGTTCATGTGTGAGAATGTAATTTGATACTCATTGTTTACATTGCACTGTACTCTCCTGGTCTTTCTATCATACGTGTTTGACATCTATCTAACATTGCCTCAGGTGTTATGTCTTTTTTTTTTTTCTTTTCAAATGAATCAAACTTCAGTGAAGTATTATTAGAAATGAAAATGGCTGTTTTCCTTGTGAAACAAGAAAACATACTTTTCATTCTTTCTTTCTTTTTTCCTGTCACACAGCAAATGTTTGCTGGCTATAAGAAACCCCGTTTTGTATTTTTAGAAGCGATCTGCTTTATTGATGAAGCATTTATTTACCCATTTCTCAGCCCACTGCCTCTGCTTTAAAAAGCTACACTGCAATGAGATGGGTATTTGTTTCGTTTAAGTTTCTAATCTTTTATTACAACTTGAGAATCATTGGAAAAACATAGACCTCCAGCATATACCGCACAAAAGATGGATGTCGCTATGGTGATGTCACGAGGAGCGGCGAGCTTGAGTGTGCAACTCGGCGCTCACTGACTTGTCAATCGTAAGTCATTATCCAGTGAGCG